TGAACTCCTGTAGACTGAGGGTTCTCTGTGATGTATATACATCTGCTGCCTTTACATGGATGACAGATAACAGCCTCCTCGAGTGAGTCATTGCTGGGGTTATCAGATATAATAATTCTTGTACTGTACATTTAAGATAACTTCAAGGTCAGTATGATTATGATAACCGTACACAATAAAACAATTTTGGTGCCAGCACTTATACAATTACCCCGGTAAATCTTAAAATAAATTTGTTTACATGACTGCTTTCTATGTAGCAAACCAAAATTTAAGACATAATCATAACCAGGCATGGAGAAATTTTATATACTTACATTGGATGTGTAAGTGTACAGCATCATAACTATGCTTATGTATAATAATTAGACTGAAATTATCTCCTCCAAGCACCTTGTATAAACAAATATATTGGTATACTGTATATTGAAACAATTAATATTTTTGTTCAATAAAAACACACCATGTAAAACTTCTTCTACATGACTTTATTTGTGCCGTGATGCTCATCAGTTTCTACTGGGAGATTGCATATTTCTGTACAGTACTGAACTGTATTTTAAAAATCCACCTACCACAAGATATACATGTGGTGCATTATTTCCAGCACTGAATATTAAATGTGGAGTGGATGTGGAACATTTTGGTTCGAGATTTTGTTTGTTTAATGCATCATTACGAGGATGACTGCTTAACTACAATAATGTACACTATTCCCCGGTATTCTCCAGGGGCTGTCTCAATAAGGAAGGTTCCAGTACTTCTTCAGTATTGCTAAACCAGATCATAACTACAACACAACCATCAAATTCCTAACTAATATATAAAAAAGTAAAAAAAAATATTGATAAATTTTTTTAATATTCTCAGGAAATTTCCATATTGCAAAGCTAATCTCACAAGATTTCAAAGGCCAAAATCATATTCACACTACCATCAATACATCAGCATATGGTCTGAGTAGTACCTTTATGCTGAACCTCTTTTTATCACCAACTAAAATTTATTGAGAAAGAAAATTCACCCCTATTTTAAATTTACAAAGGAAATAAAATATTCCTCAATGGAAAACTAATAAGTTTACAGAAAGTCCTATCAACTCACTGCAAATAACTACCAAGTAAATTTTAAATTCAGCCCAAATATCCAGGCACAAAAGTTATGCCTAAGTATCCTACTACTGTCACCAACTGGAAGAGGAGAGAAACCAACTGCATGAGGTGAGAGTGGGAGTCAAATATCAGGGGTCAGTGAAATTGACACAAACAGTATAGTATGTGGTGAGGTGCTGGGAGATAATTGTACACAAGAGAAGGAGGACAGAAAATTTTTTAATTAATATTTATAAATGTCATCTAGATGGATTCATATCCCACAATTATCTTTACTCTTTTCCTGCCTTTGTGTGGGGTGGACCACATGAAACACAAACTTCACAAAGAAGGGCAATACAGTAGAAGGGAAACTGATGTAAGACTCCATATGCAATATACTGTGAACCTAACATCTACACGGATTCATAAAGTTTCATAAAAATGCACAATGGTTATCAAAGTGAGCTTGTCAGGCTTATTAGTGTCACATAAGACTTATCTGTGCAGGATCAATATCCACACATTGCCAACACTGCATGATATAATAATCTCTTTTGGCCAACACTATTTTGTCAGTTCTTTGTAGCCACATATATCTACTAAATGTTTAGTGTCTGCTCAATCCCACTATTCCAATTCCCAACCTACATTCTAAATCCAGATTAAAACTTCAATTTTAAATTTCTAATCTTGGAAAGTCCATCATGGCCAATTTTATCACTTTCTCTCTGAAAATGACCAACCAAGTTGGAAAATTTATTTCGGTGAGGCCTTATTTTAGATTCTGAGTGTCACTGTAGTGAGAACTACAGTATAAACTCCTAATTACCTTTAAAAACTAAAATGTTCTACAATCGGTTTCAAAATTCCCCAATGAGTGGAATCGGTAACCAATATGATAAAATGATATTGCAAGGTTGTTGCCTGAATTTTGTCTTCACTGAGTACATTATGTGCAACCAGCTCTCCTGACATCTTCACAGTCCTGATGGTGATGCTCTTCTGCTTCAACCACAGACAAGTGTTACCATATTCAAACAAATAATTCGTTTTCGTGATACTCACACATCAACAAAGTAAATAATGATTCATCAACAGAAATAGTAAAAAATACAATTGATTCTGAAATTCTTCAAAACCATCCATTTACAGTAATAAATTCCTAAATTTTCTTAAAATTTAATTATGATTCCTTTTGTAAATCCCAATAGTCTTCATCACAGAAGATTTAAGAAAAAATCATGAAATATTTCCTCATACAGTATATGTCTCTTTGAAACACTGAAAAATCTGCCAAAAATCCATTATGATTCAAGCCACTAACATGACAACTTGTCCTTGTCTATATATGATACAAAACAGTGTGGATCATATTGAACTGTATAAGGCACAGGCAAGATGAGGACATGAATTTGTATGAGTGAGCAATTCTACTTGTTCTCTCAGTACCTGTTTCTGTCACTGTCTACACCTGTCTTACTCTTCTCTCTCCTATTATTACTTCCTTTTCTTTCAGATGTGTACCTAATGATCCACCACCATGAAAGAGGGAGAAGGATAAAAAATATAGATTATAGGTTACGTTCGAGCCAACGATGCCTTAAAATGTACTCTTTATATAATAAGGGCCTTCACACCAGATAATAATACTTGTATATAGATTTAAAAATTTTTTTACCTTACTCCTCAATATTTTCTCTAATTTGCACAAATTCAAACACCTTTACATGTACAGTATACATGTTTCTAAGATACAACTCAAAACAACTACTACTACTACTGTACTATCCCTATGAAAATTTACCCTAGCTTGTCTGGTGACTTTTCTGTTATGTGTACACCCACTAAAAAATTATTCGGCACCCATGTCATATTGTATCACGCCGTAAGGATGCCAAATAATTTTTTTAGTGGCCATACAGTACAGTTCAAATTACAAAAGTAGTAACAGGAGGTAGATTACTGGAAGTAAAGTACACCCAACAAAAAATTGTTTGGCACCCTTACGGCGTGATACAGTATGACACTGGTGCCACAAAGCCTGTAGAGATATGATGGAGTTTTGTCCAAAAGAAATATGTCAAACAACGAATAACTGATGAATTCAACAATTCAATGAACTGATCCAAAAATTTCCACTTGCTAACTGTACAAATTCTTTTATATGCCAGCATCATCAGTCACTTCATAATAACAAAGAATCACTCTTGTTAAGTTTTACCTTACTGTCAGTCAGTCTCTTAAGTATTTTCAGAGGTTATAGTGTTCCCTACTACAACAAAAATGAGTTCCATCATATCAATCTGTTTTATCACTCTCAGTTCACACAATTAGCTCTCCCAACACCATCACATTCACCCTCAAACCACATAACTTCATGATTTCCAGTTGTTAAATAACACTTCTTCATCATTCTTCATCTTTCTCTCCAACTATCCACCCCTGAATCATATACTGCGCTCTTTTTACCAATCTTTTCCTTCCCATTCACTCAATATGTCCATACCACCTTAACAGATCCTGGTCAGCTAGTCATCCACCACTTCCCTTCACTTTTACATTTTCTAATAGTGTGTCTAATTTTCTCTTTTCTTTGTATCCTGTTCAACCCATTTATTGCTCTCCAACACACAATATTTGCCTCTTCCTTTTTGCATCCTACTGTAAGTCCATCCTTCCCACCTTTGCAATTACGGTGGCTCAATTATTCCTGATTATACTGTACACCACATTTACATTTTCTCCTAGGTACCTCCATCCATATCTGAACACATTTACTGTATAATATCTTCCCTCAACTGCCTTGTAATTCAACACTTCTTGTTTCATGATAATAAATGTACATAGTAAGATTCATTAAGCAGCCTAAAATTTTCTCAAGTGAACAAAGAGATGATGCTTAGGGGAATAAATATGATCTTTTAATAGGTTCACACTGCATGAAACAATATTGCCTCTTGGCAATTAATTTCTGCTAAATTCCCAATAGCCATAACAGTTGTTCAGAGGAAATTTTAGAAAAAGAAGACAAGCCTAAAGGACAATACAGTAGTACAGTACTTTATTGGGAGTTTTTTAGTACCAGTTTTTCCTCTTGTTGATGATCGCATTGAGTGGTGGTGTTCTTGACGTTTTTTTTTCCTGTTGTTGGTGGTAGTTTTAAAGAGTGTTGTTGTTGTTGTTATTGTTGTTGTTGTTGTTGTTAATGCTGTTTTTTGTTTTCTCTTTAGCTGTACAAAATTTATCTGAATGATCTGCAGATAGCATCGCATTGCTAGGCACATGACAGAAATCTCCACATGGCAAATGACCTCTCTTTCATACATGCCAATACATGCATCACATTTACATCTGCTGTACATAGCACAGGTATTTATGCCAGTACCAGGTATATCTAATACTTTTCTCCAAGAATTTAAATATACAATGGAATGGTAAGAAAATATTCTCCATAACAAGAAAATGAAATGACTGCAACTAGTTAAAAAAAATAATAATAATAATCATCTTAATTTTTTTGAAACTTTACAGGGCATAACCCTGGAACTGCAATAGCTTATATGAAGAGGAAGCTTCAACTGCATTCCCATCCAAGTAACAGTCCTAAACTGTTCACAAAATTGGTTGAAAGAACTAAAATTAATATCCAGACTCTAAAGGTTAATGGCTGACAAACAGTATTATAATCCAACAAAAAAAAACATGTCTTTAGTACAAAAATAAAAAATATATTTTCACGGATTAATATTCTTTATGTTTTTAAAATAATCTCGGATTCCATTCCAATTCTACTAAAAGAAATGAATTTCCAGTTAGTGATAATGAAATAACTCTCAGAGTAAAAGCTATACCTAACTAGCAAAAATCTATCAATGCACTGTACAGCAAATCAACATGCACACTAACCTATAGGATACAATACAGGTTGCCGTTGATCCATACCCTCGCCAGTGTGTGATTGTGGGTCAGTACTCATTTCTGACGATTCACTATACACATCAGTCATGGCATCACCTGGTTCACTTTTCAGTTCTCTTCGGTCCAACCGGATGTCATCCTCCCCACCACTTATTGGCACACCACCAGTGTCAAGTTCCACAGGATTATCTCCCACCACACATTCTGTAAGTTAATGTTCAGTCAAAAACATCAAATTTCCTATAATTGTATAAGTCTTATGCCATAAAAGCAAAATGTACTGATGGTCATTGTTTCTATTCTACATGATCATTTTTATTGGAAATAAAAGTTGACATGACTTAAACTGAAAATCACTTATTTAGTGGGAGGTGGGAGGGGGGAGACTAAGGTTAATACAGTACATGTAAAAGACACGGCAAGGAGATGGTAAATATATGAAAATAATTTAAATGGGTATATGACGTGGATAAAAACAAAAGTTTTGGACAAATGTTCATAAAAGGCTAAAAATGACTTGGAGTCAAGCCAAAATAACTGATGTCATTAATTAATTTCTTCTAGTTTAGCTTTCTTGCCTCCTGCTTTAAAACTTAATTTGAAAGCTTAATGTTACACTTGTACTGTATCAGGATTCTGAAATACTCGAAACCAAGAGAATTTCAGAAAGTAGACAATTTTGGAAATTTGATACACTGTACAGTACAGTATACTGTATACTCCAGGATCCCATTTATAATGAATAAAGTTCATCATTTTCTATTTAGAGAAAGTACGGCCCATAATCAGTATGGGATGCACACTACAAAGGACAACAGTTGAACAGGTTCGCTAATAAATCTATCTCACTACTCTCATAAACACATTGTCAATTGCTGTTAACTATACTGATGAGGCAGTCTCCCTGTCCAGAATAAATCAAATGTCTCAAAAAAAAAAAAGAGAATAGTTGTACATCATACAAAACTAGAAAAATAATACACCCATATACTGTACAGTACAATATGTGTGTTTATCAGCCCATTCTTTACAAAAGTCTTAATATTTTTTGGTGAGGCAGTATTTTATGGATGAGAGTCTGTTGCAGTGTTAGTGTGACAGCAATCCGCAATATACTTAAACGGAGGCAGAAAGCATGAAAACATACATTTACAGTATATCATACCATGAAAACTATAGTTGTACAAGGGTAGCTAATATCAAATAAATGTCTAGTTTTTCATCTCTAAATACTCCCCAATGTTATCACATTGGTCACCCACCCCACCAAACACTACAAGTCAGTCCCATAAGCATGCATATAACCCAAATTTTCCTTAATTATTCTAAAGTTTTATAAGGAAAACAAAATGCACCAGTATTATTCTATCTTTTTATTCTTTATTTACATATGCTAATTAAACTGGAACTGCAGTATTGAAAACTTAAGTGACTTGTCAAATTTCTTCTTTAAGTCATAAACTGTTGTGGTTCCTACAACCATATTGGTCATGGAGTTAATTGTTGACTGATCTTTATTGAGTTTTTAGAGAATTTCCACTTTATGCTATTTCTGCATTAAAGCACTCAGCTTTGAGACATTTTAAGGGCAGCACACCTGGTTAGAATCCACAATGCTTTCTGAGAGACGAAAGAATAATGTAGACAGCAGGAGTGCACGGGTGATACTAGCCAGTGCCCAGAAAACATTTAAGGAAATATGACATCTTCCTGCACTGTGGGAAACTCCACACCATCAGCTGACCAGCTCATGCTAGATCAGCTGGTGAGATTTAGAGGGAATTTTAAATTTGAAAATAATTTGGATAATTTATTTTCCAATTCATAATAATGCACTCATGTGCACCTAAACCTAAATTTGAACCAATTAATATCCCTCTCTCTTAAAACTCTTAATTAGCAACTGGATGGTAAAAAAGTCATACATCATAACTGGTTTTCTGTTACTGTTACTATGGCTTACACAAATACTGAAAGAATCATCTCCAGATTCCCCTAACAGTACTGTACTGTACAATGAACCCAATCTGTATACCTGTAGTGTGACTAGCAGTGTTCGAGTCAGCATGGCCAGCAGCAGGGGCACTTGTTCGTTTCCGTCTCTTGCTTGGAGGAGACTCGGGTCTAGTTAGGTAGCCTCCACTACCATCACCCACTATTTCCTCATCCTTGGACCCTTGGCTTGGGGCATAACCAGCTGAGGGGCTACTCCGACCTGAAGTCATCCCTCCGATCGCAGAACCGCTGCTATAACTATATGACACATCTGGTCTGTGTAACTGCCGAAAAAAAATACAATTAAGGAAATGTAATTCAATAACACAAAACCTACAAATAAACTTAAAGCTATTACATCTGATAATTATAAAATACTGTATTTACACTTTACTTGACAATTAAACCTGGTACAGTATAACTAAGCTACTGTGATACAACTTGGTCCATGCATAATGTCTAAACCCTCAAATGTCATAGTGCTTCCACCTGCTTTCAAAAACTGTGAACCAGTCAGTGCATCAAACAAATATTAAAAAATTAATTGTTTCTGTCCCAACCTGATCAAGACAAATTCAATATAGTGGTCAGTCTAGAAAAGAACAGATGTGATAGGTCATGGACTTCTCAAATATAATTTCATCTGATATAAATAGAATAACGGCCTTTGCCAATTTTATCATATGTGACTCTAAAACAAAGAACTTACAGTCTTTACACTATTTGCCTAAATAAGTAAGTATTGTACAGACAAACTCACAAAGGGAATACAGAAAGACACAAGACAGTCAAAAAGATATATAGAAGATGTCTGAAGTATTCATGTCAGTCTCACTAATTCACCCAGAGACAAAAACCACAGCATACAGCATAGTCCAATCAATAACAATCCAGAGAAATAATTATACTGGAATGGTAGGGGCTGAACAACTACCTGACGGACTATAATATGCTGCATGGTACATGTATCAAATATATTCCTTGTCTGAGCATACACTACAGTACTTTCTGTCTTTTGGGATTACACTGAAGTCTCCACAATCCTTGCTCAAATTCAAATTATTTTCCACAAAATTTTCTGTGTCCACTGTCAAATATGCCTAAACATATCCAACACACAATCCTTTACTTTTACAACTAATAATCTTTTTACTTATTTCACAATTTTCAACTTCATACTTATGCTTCTCATATTCTTCCTTTATCCATCTGTCACTAGCAGGCCTCTAATCAGCCTTCTACTTCAAAGCCACATTTCACGAGCACACAACAGAGGGGATCTAACACTACTACCAACATATAATTTCTGGAATTCTTACCATACCTGCCACCAGATGGGATATAAGGTAAGTAAAAATTTTTATACGTATTGAACCATTACAAGAATTTAAAGAAACTTTAAATCACTGAGGTGTAAATAAAAGTACTTTACATATGAGTCAGAGCCCAAAGGCACCTCATACAAGTATAGTTAAAAGAGTCCCATGTTGTACAGCATATAATAAAATACAGTAGCATTAGAATTATTATTTTACAGGTACTGTACAGTAAATGTAGTTATGAAATACTGTAGGTTGAAAAACACAAGGCATAAGGTCATACTTCTTTTTTACAGCTCTATTTTCTCACCCACAGGAGCTTCTCTACAATGTGAAAATCAAATACCAAGTACATTAACCCCTTCACCACTTTAACGTACCTGTGACGTCAAAAATGTCCATAAACCAAAATGTAGACGGATCTGAAACATTCAATTTTCTCGTTTCCTTCTTAGGTTTATGCCTCCCACTGGATAGTTTCAGAAGCATTTCCTTTATATGGTAGTTTCCAATATTTAGGCTTCAGCCACTCTCTCCCCAGCCAATACCTCCAAGACTCCCCCCACCCGGAGTTCAACTTGGAGCTTAGATATCCAGGTTCTGTCATTAAAAGTACATGTTGCATATTTTTGTCCTTATTCTGGAATTTCATGATGTAATGGCTGAGTCAATTAGTAACAGTAGTGGTGAGGCATATATACAGTACTGTACCCGACACTGGGGACTGATAACACTAACTAATCACCAACAGAGATACTACACGTAGCATCTTAGTGAACACCAGCCTTCTCATTTTTCAAGCAGCCGGCAGCTTAATTGCAGCCATTGATAGTATTTTCCATCGCATAGTACAGTATACACGCTACTGATGTTCACTTGGTACAAGAGTGGCAATTTATAAATCACAAGAAAAGTTTGATCATTACATTTGTACCCTGAAGGAGGACACCCACACCTCCCTGCCTTCTATTACTGTTCTAATGTCCTACTTCAATGTCCTACTTCAACACTAAATGAGAAGGCTGGATAAAGGAGGAAAAAAAGTCAAAGATGGGAAACTAACTTAATCCAGATGATGACTAAATTTTTCAGACAAAATTAGTACAGTATCAACATAATGATCTTGGATTTTGATTCTTAACTTTAATAATAAACTTATTGTTAAGCTATTACAATAGATTTGAACAAAAATTGAAAGGTACAGTATTTGTTGAAATATTATATTAAAAATATTCATCTTTCTAAAAATCATACAAAAAATTGGTATGCATATACAGTATCTGTAATATGGATTAAAAACATTAAAAAATTCAAAACAGGGTGTACAGTAATGAAGGAGATGCAAATCTTTTTTTCACTGCCCTTTTTCCCTTTGGTGTTGGTTGACAAACATTTTAAAAATACCTGTACAGACTTCCTACAATACAGTATGCTAATATTAAGTCATTCTAGCTGCTGTGACAGATGTGTTTTACAATGGTGTTCTCCATCCACAACAAAGTCCCAGTCAATTAATCAAACGGTCAATGATTCAGTATTCTGAAATCACTGCACTGTGGATTGGGTCTGAAATCCACCAGATGTATCAGCTTTGTTTGCCATTTTTTTTTTCTTTAGGAAAAACTTTGTTTATACAGTACTACCGTATACTACTACTGTATACTGTTCGTGTGCGCAAACAATTTAATTCTCTTGAGACAAGGTGGTCAATCCTCATACAAACTACTAGTCAAAAACTAGCATTACTGACAAGTTAATCTCTATATATCTACCTTTTACCTCATATGTTAACTGGATACTACCTCTTCCTCTCCTGCCATAACAGCACTTTACGTCACCACCTCAAACCTCAGGTGCATTATCTAAAACTGTCAAACTTCGTACATTCCATCTATCTATATGAAAATGCTGGAATGGGCATACATATCAAAATGTGATGTAAAATATCTAGAAAACAGAGCAAGCAAATAGTGTCTCATGTTAAATGTGTTGTATGAAGACATGTACAGTATGTGTGGGTGTCACAACCTTTAGCATGATGACAATACAAAGGATACTAAATTAAAGCTACACATTGATATACAGTACAAATAATTTAGATTTATACTTACTGAAGACATGTTACAAAACTATCACTTACCCCAGCCTGATCCATATCATCAGAGGAGCCAGCCAGTCCTCGAATCTTAAGGTTTTCTGCAGTTTTGAGGAACGCTGCCAGTTGATCTTGCGCTATGCTCACTTCACCATTGTACATAAATTCTAATAGTCTCTCCAATTCTACATGACCCACATCTTTTAGTATAACAATGGGGTGCTGGCACGGGTTGGCCTATGGAAAAAATTCAACATCAGTTAAAGTAAAAAAAAATCTTAAAATCATATGCAAGTTATTTCACAGAACAAACATCTTTAAACACTGTCTATAATATATAGAACAAAATTAGCATGAAGAACCTCTCATTTATTACTTATTACACATTTTTTATCAATCATTAGCTTGAATACCTTAGATGCTAGCTTATATATCATACTCTTTATTTTCAAGTTTTTAATTATAAATTTTAAAATGTATTCAGTTGAAGGAAACTGTATCAAAAGGTTAATTACTATATCAACAAGTGAAGTAATACTGTGGTAATGTTGTCAATGATAGTGACTGTTTCAGGAATTGAAAAATATTAACAAAATAGGCCCAGGGACTTAGGGATATTTTGTTGATGCTAAAACAATTGCACATACTGTACTGTACAGGTTTTGACATGAAATATAATAAATGTATACCAAATAATTATAAAAACTAAAACATGAAATAAACAACTTACCAAAGATTTAAAAAAATAAAGAAAGCATTAAACACATGTGTAACAAGAAAAGAAAACAAGTAACTTTACTTGGAATATAGAGGAAAAATTCACTGCACAAACACTATATTACACAGGTATATGGAGTAATCCTGAACTTGACACAATAGTAAATAAATTGTTACAATATTAATTTTCTTTGTCTTTCTCACTTATATGTTTGAACTAGTGAGTCACTGTCACTTTCCCCATAATTTACCTCATATAATGCAATCTTGTTAGGGTTTAACTCCTTCCCAAGAAAAAGATATTGTACTGTCCCAAGATTAGTACATGATACACCTGCAATGCTTGTACAGTACAATCAAAGGATACCATGCTACAAAAGCATGCACCATATCCTCAAAAACTGCATTAGGCTTGTGTTTGGTAATAGTCTATACAGTATTCTCAAACTCAATCTTAAAATTACCCACATGTATTAAGTAGTAACCCATTTAAAAAAAAATAAATAATAGAAAAGGCTAGTTTCCAATTTACTGAATAGAAAGTGAAATTTTACACAAATGAACAGCAGGTTTTCTAGCAAAGACCCAGCTGACCATCTGGTCACATGAGGAACACATATCCATACACACAGATTATCTTTATCAAGTTTTGTTGAATTCCACTGAAAACTGTCAGAGAAGTCACACAGATGGCCAAACATTACCTGATCTTGTTTACCTTATCAACTGATACACAACATTCATACAAAGTTCAGTGAAATTTGAATTACACAGATAGAATCATCAAATCCCAGAGTACTGTACAACAAATTAATCCAATGGTGAAGGCATCTTGAGTACAATGATTTAAGCCTCTGCATATGATGACTTACTCCCTTGAATATATCAGGGATTAAGTGACTGCAGTATACTCAAGAAGTTAAGTTTTCAAGCAAAATCATCTTGATATACAGTACACCGATCACATGTTCACATACATTACATTTACCAATTTCACTCAAATTTTACTGAATAGTTTGAGAAATAGTCTTTCAAATATGGATGGGTAGAGACAGACAGACAAACAAACACGCATCAAACACTATATGCCCCCCCCCCCCCAATCCTAGCCCAGAGGTAGATGACAAAGCATAATACACATTGGAAAAAATCTCTTTATCAACAATGGAGGGCAATGGAAGTCCACAGATGTGCATGCAATGACAATCTTCCTTTGATAACATGGAAACGATGTGTCAAACAACATAACTAAGAAAGCAAAGAATGTAGTATTCAGAGCAAAGCAATAAGATAATGTGCCACCTTTCAAGGCCAACCAAACTCTTCTGTTCTAAATGGCCAATGTTATAAACATACAGTACCACAAACAGGACTGTAAAACTACTTTTCAGACAATAGAAACCAACCATACTCTCTCCAAAACTCCCCCATGTAACAAACAATAGCAAAAACCTACCCTAATCTAACCAAACCTCACCTGGATTATCAGGTGATACTAGGTTTGGGTCTTCTTATAAAAAAGCAGTACAGCAAAATTCACACATCTTACTACTGTACTTTCTTAAGCTTTGATCATACAAATTCCAAAAAAAGCTCTTTTTAGTTTAAGACCCTATTTAAAGCTTCAACACTGACTTAATTCAAGAATTTATTTTTACAATGCTTGAACAGATTCAACTTCAATGATAACTGTAGAGTTAAATTCTGCTTTAGTGTTTTATCATTTATTTTAATAATAACAAATGAAAGGTACTGTCGTACTGTCATGTGTTAAAAAAAATTTGTATGAGCCACCCTTCTTTAAACCTGAGTAAAAAAAATTTACAAACAAACATAGGTAACCATGAAACAATAACAAGCTGTGTCAGTGCAGGCTGGTCAGCACAAGCCACACAAAATATTTCTCAGTCAAGTGATTCTTAAGTTTATCAGTCAATAAATAACTCACTTACTCTCTCAGTCGTTCAGTCTACACTACTATTCACAGAGCTGCTGACACAGCTAAAATTATTCTTAGCAAAGAAATATTAATGTAATATTCACAAAAAAAAAATTTATGGTTAAGAGAAAAGGGCATCCGGTATTGCATGGGGGTGTCAAGAGTAGTTAAGAGTTAATGGATAAAGGTGGGTTTTTTTCTTGATACTATACTAGCAGCCTTGAAGTACAGCTTTCAAGATAAGAAACAAGTCTTCCATAATAAATGACTAACATATCAACAAAACTCTGTCCACTTTGGCGATGTTAGCAACCACTGCTGTAGACTTTGAAGCAAACTGGTTGCTGAATGATATCCACTGCCACATTCGAAAATTTATCACAACCTTTTTTCCTGCTTTTCAATGTTTCATATATAGTAACAGAAGGTGATGGCATGACTTAGCAACCAGCAAACAATCAATCTCTATGAATTGTGTCAGTGCAGTAGGTAAAGACTTCAAAGAGGGATGGTAGCTTGAGATGATACACTTGACAATAATAAATGATGATGATGCTGCATTTAGTGGCGTCATAATTACCATATTCTTCAGATACTGACAAAACAAGTCACAACTGGCTCAAGAGTAAATGAGGTTACCCTATTTCAACATTCTCCTGTGGCCATCACCTTGAATGTTGTTACATTATACCAACCGTGTCTCTTGTTCATTCAAGCTGTTATCCTTTATAAGAACTGTGTGTCACTGAAACCCATAACATAATTCCACAAGATATTCTGATGAAATCCAATTACATAAATAAAAAACATACAGTACATAAACATCTTCTTTACAGATCAAACTTATCCTTCAGCTTCCACCTCCAACATTGCTAACGGATAATCATTACCGTCAAGTTAACCACAAGAGTTCAGGATCTTCCTCAACGATAGAGAAAATATGAGCCAACATTTGACTGGAATCTTACTGCATTACACACAAGATGCTCAGATAATAGAAAAGCGACACTTGTAAAAAAGTAAAAAACAATGCAGTTACGTTTAGCAATTCTGAAGTAAGTTAAAGATAAAATATACACCTCGAGCTGCTTAGTTGCTTGTCTTGTTCATACCCAGAGGACTTCATATATGTACCAAGTTTTATAACGATCAGTTTCTATTTTGTTAAAATATCACATTTACAAGTGACACCCTCCCAAACATTGAAGGCTGTGTGGGTATTAGTATTCCAATGTTCCAGAACAGGAAAAACAGAAATTGCAATATTTAATATTCCTGTTTTTTTTTTTTTTTTTGAAGAACAATATGTATACAGCTTCTATTTTAAATCCATCAACTGTAACCAACTACAGTACTGTACAGTGCTGTACAGATTAATCTTAATAACCTCATGTCTTCCTTCATCCCACAGACCACACAACCCCAATCAAATTAAGAACTTTAGCTACTTATCCAGTCAGCAAAGAAATCAAATTCTGTTACATCAAAGTAAATGCATATATCAAATTAATAGAAAAATTAGTACAACAGTTTGAGTTGCAGTACAAATTATAATCAGACATACATACTGTACCACTCATATTTCTATGACTACTGTATCTTTATAAACAAATACATGCAAATACAATACCATAGTAAAGAAAATTACAAGTAGCAAGCAACAAATATGTACTCATAAAATTAGTTAGCGAAGAAATTAGTGTTCTAAAGCTAAAGTACAGTTATGAAATGAAAAGTTTTAAAAACTAAATTGAATTCAATTGAAAATAAAGAGAGAATAAGAATTCCCTTAAATAAAAGGAAGAATAAAAAAATTCCTTTAATGCACTTGGGTACCTACCCTGAGTAGGGCCCGGAAATATGGAGAGCACGCGGAAAGCACCATTTTGTGGGCTGAGTAGGAGTGACCATCACAGGCAACAGTAACATCAACAAAATCCTCCTCATCCCGTAAGGACTGGAACGCTGTAACAATCTTGACTGTGTAGTCATTCCAGCGAAGTGAATAGTGCTGTTCTGACCCCATGGTGCCCTAGTTGAGAATGGCCGTGGTGTTGTGTTGTAGCTGCTTGTAAGTGGGCCACCACCACCTTCATCTACCTCCCCTCCTCCTCCCCCTCCCCACCACCTCCCCCTGCTGTTGCTGCTCCACCTACTGCCACCTGCTGCTGCCGGGCCGCCCGTCCTGCTGCTGGGACGCTGCCTACTTGGCACCACCACCCACACACCTGTCGATTAGAGCAATCAAAATAAAAATTCCAAAAAATCGAAAGTAACACAACGATAACTATCGATGAGTTTATCCTTTTCTGTAACACAACAAACAAAATATGGCAAAGCTATGGATGAATATACAGTAATGTGATTTTAATTGAACTGCTGTACTGTACTGAGGCTGCTAATGATTTGCACGCAAGTTTATTGGTGATCATCGCTTTATTGTTGATGGGAAAAAATGCTCCTGGAGTACGTATGATGATTCTATTATGGTTGAGATACACGCTTAGTGTTAATAAAATGCGTGATGGTCTTAGTGTCGATAAACCAGGTACTGTACACACTACTGTACTGTATTTATGCCAAAATAATAAAAGAAAAGAACCTCGGAATGTTTTAGTACAGAACAGACACAAGATTTCGTATCTAGTGATTAGAACGGTACACGCATCAGCTGGCTTTGCATTCACAAACTCAAGCACAGTACTGTATCAATGAAGGTGATGTACGGCCCCCACCAAAAGTTCAAAGTTGAACGCGGTTCATAATTCCAGTAAATAGTAGTTCGAGAACATTGATTATCATACTAATCAAAGTTATTTTTATGATGAAACTGCACGCCAAACTTCACTTCAATCCAGAGCACCGTTCACACGCTAATGAGAGAGAGAATAATCTTATTTTTTCAATAGACGGATAAACTGGGGTCACACTACAACCCTCTTCTGGTAGAAGGATGAACTGGGGGTCACTCTACAACTCTCTTCTGAAAGACGGAAGAACTGGGGGTCACACTACAACTCTTCTGATTGATGGATGAGCTGGGGGTCATATTACAACCCTCTTTTGATAGACGAATGAACTGGGGTCATATTACAACCCTCTTTTGATAGACGGATGAACTGGGGGTTACATAACAACCCTCTTCTGATAAACGGATGAACTGGGGGTCACACGACAACTCTCTTCTGATAGACAGATGAACTGGGGGTCACATTACAACCCTCTTCTGGTAGACAGATGAACTGGGGGGTTAGACTACAACTCTCTTCTGATAGAAGGATGAACTAGGGAAAACACTACAACTCTCTTCTGATAGACGGATGAACTGGGGGTCACACTACAACCCTATTCTGGTAGACGGATGAACTGGGGGTCACACGACAACCCTCTTCTAATGGATGGATGAACTGGGTGTCACACTAAAACCCTCTTCTGATAGATGGATGAACTGGGGATCACACTACAACCCTCTTCTGATAGACGGATGAACTGGGGGTCACACTACAACCCTCTTCTGATATGTGGATGAACTAGGGGTCACACTACAACCCTCTTCTGATATGTGGATGAACTGGGGGTCACACTAAAACCTTCTTCTGGTAGACGGATGAACTGGGGGTCACACTAAAACCCTCTTCTGGTAGACGGATGAACTGGGGGTCACACTACAACCCTCTTCTGATAGATGGATGAACTGGGGTCACACAACCCTCTTCTGATAGACGGATGAACTGGGGGTCACACTACAACCCTCTTCTGATATGTGGATGAACTAGGGGTCACACTACAACCCTCTTCTGATATGTGGATGAACTGGGGGTCACACTAAAACCTTCTTCTGGTAGACGGATGAACTGGGGGTCACACTAAAACCCTCTTCTGGTAGACGGATGAACTGGGGGTCCCAAACCCCCTACTTTCCCCAGTATTCTCAGTGGGGCACAACACAACACCTGACATCTTCCAGCATGCCATTGTGGAGACATGGTCAATGTAAACATCCCTCTGAGAGACTAGCCTGTCAATAATCACAGCTGTATGGGAGTAATAGGTATATAAGTTGTGCATTGTACATCACACTCACTTGCACAATACATAATTACATGCACTACCTCGCCCTTGTGTTAGTGACTGCAAAAACCCAACCTAACCCCTCACTGATACCTCTAAACTAACGCATTGTGACAAAATCTAACCCACACTGACACAACCTAACCCATACTGACACAACCTAACCCACACTGAAACACCTAAACTAACCCACAAACAACACTAACCACACTGACACAACCTAAACCACACTGACACTAAACTAACCCACACTGACACAACATAACCCACACTGACACACCTAAACTAACCCACACTGACACAACCTAACAAACACTGACACAACATAACCCACACTGACACAACATAACCCACACTGACACACCTAAACTAACCCACACTGACACAACCTAACAAACACTGACACAACATAACCCACACTGACACAACATAACCCACACTGACACACCTAAACTAACCCACACTGACACAACCTAACAAACACTGACACAACATAACCCACACTGACACAACATAACCCACACTGACACACCTAAACTAACCCACACTGACAAACCTCAACTAACCCATATTGATACTAACTTGACCCAACTTAATCTAACTTAACAAAACCCAACATAATGTACATGAAAACACAACTACTACTGGGTTACACAATCACTACTGGGCTACACAATCTCTACTGAGTTACACAATCATTACTGTGTTATACAATCACTACTGAGCTACACAATCACTACTGGGTTGCACAAAACACTACTGGAAAACACAAATATTGTACTGCTTGGTAACAATACTGTACTGGGCAACATAATGCTGTACTGGGTAACAATGCTGTACTGGGTAACAATACTGTACTGGGCAACATAATGCTGTTCTGGGTAACATTATGATGTACTGGGTATCTTAATGCTGTACTGCCACTGTGTATCATGATAATGTACTGGGTATCATAATATTGTACTGGGTAACATACAAATGTATTGGGTTACTTAATATACTGCACTTATAACACCACCAGTGACGCTGGAACGATTATGCCTTTTACCAACATGTCTTTTGAGGGGTTCAAGATAGATACTAAATGCGAGCAATTTTTGGGTATGGGCTCAAAACAACTTCGTATACTGCATTACTGTATTGTGCTTTAATCCTGTCTTGAATTTTAGAAACGCCAAATACGTACTTGGAGCCAAGTAGGGAGGTACAAATTCTCGATATGCCAAGTTGGGGTGTAAAAAAAACATACATATATATTAATGTACCTTTCTGTCGCACCATCACTTCTGTGCTCGTGAATTTTCATTGTAGAAATTATATGTTTGTTATTTTGCCATTAGTATGAAACAGGTATTGAGGTACAGTCCTTGAGCGTCCACGTAAAAAAAAAAATAACCAACTAAACCTAAACTACCTAACCTTACCGACTTAAGTTAATATTTACTCTAAGGCTCTTAGGTTAGGCAAGTTGGATGTGGTTGGCTCATGTTACCTTTAATAGATGACAACGTCGCAGTCTGAGAGTCGCCATTTAAAAGCATTTCGTATGGCACTGATCGAATGTTTTTTCCTTTTATGTGGGTAATAAGCTACAAAATTCGCCATGATTATTAAAACAAAATTTAATTACAATTTAAAATATGTGAACTTCAATAATACATAATACTAAAATATCGTGATGTCTGGCAACTTCATAAATTGTGATAAAACCATTATAAAACAAGAACTAATGAAAACAAAATCTTACCCAGAAGAAAGACACAAAGTAGTGAAATAACAAATACAGGGGTAATACTTCACGTTCTCACGATATTGGAACAAAACACGCTGTGACCGACAGTTACTCGACTTTATTTGCAATTCGACGTGTTCCAAAATATTTGTTTCTCAACTTTCGACACCTAACTCGTGCTAATTTGAAGGTGGGGAAAAATAAAGAATGTGCAAATACGGTAATTACGGTAAGAATGGGATGTAATCATTACTTGTCACAACGTAAGAGTACAATACTGTACTGTACAAATTTCCAGTGACCAACAATTTCATTATGTCTCAAAACCTACAACAATGGAAAACAAACATGACCAGACATGCTAAGGGTGGAACAACTCGTGACACAACACGCTAACATAAGTCAAGGAGAGAGAGGGGGGGGGAGTATGGGACTTCTACTACTCACCTACGCACAAGTCACCCCTCCTACACCAGAGAATAACTCTATTTTATAATAGTTGCTGTCTTGATACTCAACTGTGAAGGGTGATTAATTAAGGACCTTGACCGCTGAAGAACTTAAAAGTACATAAAACAATAAGAGCACCACGTCTCCCTCTTTGGGTAAGAACCAGAATGTTTACGCAGAATTTTCAGATAAAACACCGATCTAAAAATCAAGTACAGTAAAGCAGAGTAATTCTCAGGTGGAGAGAGTATGATGGTAGTGCCTTAACCTACATAAAGTAAGAATAGTCCCAGCTCAGAGGTGACCATGACAGACGGTGAAGCTCCCTGGTTTACAACATACACGCATATGGCCAGCACGAGCAGAACTTACGCGTGTGAAAATTTAATAATAGACATTTCAAGTGCGGGAAACCTCACATCCTAGCTTCGTAGGGGACAAAGTGGACGGACAGAGACACCAATCCTATACAGTAATGCCTTCCAGGGAAACCAGTTGGCGACTAACAAGCTCACAGTCATATAAAGATAGACAGACCCGCGTGACGACAAGGTGAAGGTGACGCCTTACCACCTCAAAGCACCTTCACACTTTCAAAGAGTGAACAATGACCTCCATCACTCTTACTCACCCATTTACTCAAGGAACAAACACAAAAGGAAACATTCATTATTCGACGCATTTATCGCCTGATCGTTATTTTTATTACGTCACTCACTGAGGCTCCTTATTCTCAATGGCCTGCGTTAAAGCTCTGCCCAGTAACTTCAGTTAACAGAACGTGTAATTGAATCCCTGACCTTAAAAGCGTACGGTAATTCAGCTCCACACCTGAATTTTCGTACGTGATAAAGTTTGCTTGACAATGATTTTTAGGCCTATGAATATTCTCACCCTAACACAGGAAGCTCCAAAAATCTCTCTCCTTTCTCTCTCTTTCTAACACAGGAAGTTCCAAACACATTCTCGTATCAACACAGAACCCCTAACATGACCCCTAAAACAGAGGAGTCACTGATCTTAATAACATCTTGGCCGCCGTCTTAAAATGTCTCTGCTTAAGTGGTCGAGTTAGATGTGCTCTCAAATTTCACGTTATTGTGTAAATGTAATGAACGGACGTTTGTAAATATCACTCTCCCTCTCACTGCTATCACCCGGCAATGTCTCTCTGTCGCTGCTCTCACCCTGCACTCTCCCTCTCACTGCTCTCAGTGAGCAGCGAGAGAGAGAATGCTGGACGAGAGCCTCTCACCCGACACACTCTCTAGCTGCTCTCGCCCGGCACTCCCCCCCCTCTCACCGACTTCTCACTACTACGAATAACTTCCAAAGGTCTTAACTTATTCTTCCATTGCTCTTGCACACTCCGACTCACTCCTCCACTGCCGTGACACTCTCTGCTCTTACTGTCTGTTTTTACCCACTCCCACTGCTTTTACTCTCACTTCGTATTCTTACTGTTCGTATTCTTACTGCTCTCACAACTCTTACCCACTCTCACTACTCTTACAGCTCTTCTCACAGGCAGACACACACACGGAAGTATACACCAACGAGACAGGTGAACACAAGGACGCCTACACACAAATGACAGACTGTACCTATGAATTGCCCTCACCCGTGATTGGTTAAGCAAGTGATAAGAGGTAGGAGTGTGCCTTATATTTAAAGAGCTGTGGGTGTGTATGCTGAGGGAGAGGGGCGACAATTCCACAATGGAGTAACATTGAAGTATGAGTAATGAAGGAGGGGAGGGTTGCGGAGGCGGGATGATTTGTTGATGATTGTAACGTATTTTCATATTTGTATCCTAAGGAAAATATCTTATGGTAGTCTCCCCTATGAAATAGAAACCGGTTGTCTTGGTTCAGCTCACTCAAATATTGAGAGGATATATCACTCATAGAAAAGATATATAAACGGAGAGGAAGTTTTACCGAGGGCGGCTTGTTGCAGTCCATGACTAGTTCTTGATCACCTTGTAGGTGTGCGACCCTGAGATTGAGTTTCTATGCACTGATGGCCGGTACTACACTGGTACCTTGACTAAGCACAAGTTCTCTGGTGATTTTATGACACCGTGAAAAGTTAAGGTCAATGTTGTTATAAATATAATTCTGGTTTACGAACCAAAACTTAAGATTTCCATTAGGCCTAACTAAAGAACGTGAACCTCACCACGCGTGAGGTGAAGCTCCTTACCGAGTTTAAGGTTGAGTTAAAGGTAGAGATCATTATTGTACAGCTGGCCCGGGGAGAACAGTCGTGAATCAAGCTCCTGGCTGTTTTTACACCTCAGTTGGAGTAAAAACCTAACACACAAGTTTGGGGGAATCTGTGGCAGGAACTGCTATGCTAAGATAACGAAAAAATACATTCAGCAATACCTAGTCAACCTAACACCCGCCTATCCTGACCCCGGCTGATTGATATAATTAGTGTTGTTAGTGTTTTCATGCGAAGATAGACATTGAAAACCCAAGTAATTGATCGCTACACCAATAAGACTGTAAGAGGGTCATCATCACCGGGTACAACACGTGCAGCTTCACAAAAGATTGAATTCCCAGATTGGGGTGATGGCGAGAGTGGTGTCCGGTGCTTTCTTGATAATACTTTTCTGTTACACCAGCCTGGCTCTGGTGTTCTCGTCCACCCCTTACCTCATATATCTACCCCTTAACTCATGTATATACCCTTAACTTATGTCTACACCTTAACTCATATATCCACCCTTAACTCATGTGTCTACCCCTTAACTCATATATATACTGTACCCTTAAGTCATGTGTCTACCCCTTAACTCATATATATATATATATATACCCTTAACTCATGTGTCTACCCCTTAACTCATATATATATATATATATATATATATATATATATATATATATATATATATATATATATATATATATATATATATATATATATATATATATATATATATATATATATATATATATATATATATATATATATATACCCTTAACTCATGTGTTTACCCCTTATCACCTTCACCTAACACTACACCAACAGTAACACTTCACCTACAGTATCACATCACCTATATAATGCTCCTACAGTAATGCTTCCCCTACATAATAATTTTCACTGCCACATCACCAATAACAGAGATCAATTCACCACAAAATAGCAAATTAATAAGTTCATCTCACTGCCCTATTATAAATCCTGTTTTTCATTTCACTGCCACATCAATCATCAAGGTCATTTCACTGCCACACAACTATTCAGGATATTTCTCTGCCACATCACCAATCAAGTTGGGTCATTTCACTGCCACATTAACCATATAAAGGTACAGTACAGTATCACATAAGCTATCATCAAGTCTTGTCATTATCATGTGAACTATGTCACATAGCTCTTATGTACAGTACAAGCAATCATTAATACCATAGACAACACAACCAGTATAAGCAGATCACTGCACAACGATATACATTTAAGTATCCTCGAGAGGAACCAGCTAAGATATCAACATTATCAGACTTGAGGATACCTCATGGTTATAAAATCAAAATATTGGAGAAAACTATCTCACTGATATAAACAAGCTGTGACGGCAACACTATATGTTACCTTGTCACTGACAAATTTATCTCAGCCACTTAACAAGAGTGAAGAAATTATTTACATCCTCACAGTGTGTAAGAGTGACTTATACTAATTTATGATTCAGTAAAATATTGAATGTCAATACAGTATTATAAAACTAAAGTTGAATTACTCTTGGTTAAAAAGAAACTGAAGTCTATAGTAAAATATGTCTCAGATAGCACAAAAGAAAGTGGCCATAAACATGCCAGTGATTTTTTCAAACATTATTTTAAGTGCACTATCCTCTAGTAGCACTCTACAGACTGTACCAAATTTCAGAATACCAACTTTAACCATTAGGGAGGCAAAATTTTGTGAGCAGAAAAAATGAGAAAAAAGGCTGACAATCATCAGTTCATACTGTAATACTGCATGTTTTAAAAAATAGTTTTACAGTACTGTACACACTTCAAGCCCTTGCAACCTTCTGAATTTGCCATATTTCAGAATACTGTAGTACTGTACATGATTTCCATCAATTATAATTTCGGTGGAGAATTATTTCCTTGTGTATCATCACACTCTAAGTATCTACGGTTGTGCAAAACATGAGAGATGAAAGGACACCGACTGACAAACAAATGGAAAAGCGGATGACGGCAAGTTAGATAGATGGATGAACTTATAGAAGAAAGGAAAGAAGGATACACAGATTCTATGTTCCTCAGGCAGAGACAACAGCTATAAGATAAAAGCAATCAGACAGTAACTGAAATAAGTAAAAGCCAAAGATCACAATACTAACATACAAACCAATAAATAATAAAAGCCCACAATAACACGAAGCTACTAATAACAATAAAATTATAACAAATCCCAGAGAAGAGATAACAGTACAACAGTAATATGATACTACAGTACTGATACATAAAAGCCAGAGTTCACAATAATCAAATGACAAATAGAAGTCAGAGACAACAATAAGAAACTGATAAATAAAATAGAGTCAGAGATAACAATTACTAATAAGATACTGATAAATAAAAGCAAGTGGTAAGAGTAACATGACACTGATTAATACAGGCTAAAGATAACAATAACACTGATAAATAAAAGCCAAAGATAACATTAATAAGATATAATACTAACTGATATTTATTGCACTGTATGTATAAAAGCACAAAATCTTCAATCTTTTCTCCTCTTGTGTCGTATTTTCAATGTTATCCTGAGTTATTCTTTTTATTTTACTATGTACAGTACTTTATCATTTAATCTTCGACTGTATTCCTTTGTATTTTCTATATTTCACTATAATCTTACTTCAATGTATTTGTCTTTTGTAATCTTTCAATGTACAGTATTATTTATTCATGTGTTGCTATTTCTGTTCATCATTTTCTGTGCTGTACTGTTATTTTTGTTCATGCTGAATCTATATGTATTTGCATGACGGTTTTACTAGATGGTAAGGGTTATTTTACCGGTATCCGGTCGAACAACATCTGGTTATTTGACAGAGATCAAACATAAAACTAATTAATTCTAGCCACAGATAAATATACATATTATTTTATTGATAATCTATAACTATTAGAAAAAATCGATCAAATAGAAATAATGCAAAATATACATATGTCCATGAGAGAGTGGGATATCTTGGAGTATCAAAAGACGATTAGTGATGATAGTGATAAAGCATTCAATTTTTTAATAATAGTGTAATGACTAGTGTAATGCCCACAACCATCCTGACCAGACTCCCATTAAAATCATTACAATCCTCGCAAGTCCCAGTCAAATAGCCGATGGTTATTCCGTCGGGAAGCCCGGTCAAATCACATTACTAAATACCCATATATCTTCTTTCAGCTAATTCTCTTTCCAATTTCCTATTCGCTCGTCTACGTTCTTAACGGTCTACCTCCCTTGGAACAAACTGCTCAACTCCTCCCGATCCCAGAACTGTGTACACAAAGTGTGGAAAAGATCGGTTCAGTGATGGCAGAGATGCGTTTATACTGGGCCTCACCTTGGTAGCGGGCACTTGTTGGTATCATGCACACCCACCCTGCCAAGTTTCACTTCAACTTACTCGATTTGGGACGCTGGATTCTCAAAAGCTTCGTTACGTCAATAATTTAAACTCATACGGTGAGTAGATTCAAAGACGTTTCTAACAGGTTCATTTTACCTGCATAATAAAAATGGCGTCCCAAATGGCAACATCTTAAGATTGCCAAGTACGACCGAAGCTTTGAGAACGCGGGCCCCACATGTAAGAAAAATAAAATAATTGAATACGATATCAAAGTAGATACTTGTTAATGTATTATTAACAGTTTATTGAGTACTGAACTATAAAACATATCGTTATCCACAACCAAGTGAATGTTGATAAAAAGGATACCGTATCAACATTAAGACGGATAAACAAAAATGACACCAACACTAACACCAATAAGCATTCGTAAAAGCCAAATGATGAAGTATCAGAAAAAATCTGAACAGAATAAACTAAAGGAAAGTAGCCAGCGGGGGTAAGACGTCATCAAATTGATCTAATATTCGTTCCTGCATCTGTAACCAGTAGCTACTTAGTAAGGATGGTCACGTACGCTTAAAACAACCCTGGACATTTCTGGCACAGAGTCGAGACCCAGCTGTAATCACCAGCATCAAGCTCGCCATACCTTGCAGTTGTGGGGAAGTAAAAGATGCGTATTTAGTGCTGCCTAAGTTGGGTGTCAGTCTCAAGGAAAATACAACCAAAGTCCCAGATTTCCGAAGGACAAACTTCGACTGATTGAAAAGAAAGCAGAGGTAGGGGTGTTACGCGTGGTGGTGGGAGAGATTACATGACCTCGCGAGAGGGTGCAAATAACATGACCTCACTCATAACCAAACTCGTAGCAATGGTTTTAAATTGGCGTGAGATAGGTATACACCGACTTGAAAACTAACACGAAGTTTCAAATATAGGCTGAACAGCATAAACAGTACACTAGGCCCACTGCAGTTTCCACCATTCTTACGTCAAGTCAGTAGCGCCAGGTCCATCTACATCCCGCGACCCCCTGCATGCCCACAATGATGGCGTTATCAACAAGTGCACGGCGATTATCAGAGTACACGTGTACCTAAACTACTGTTAACCTTTATCTTCCCTCCATAATAAAAGCCAGGTCACTGCCATTTAACTTGGTGTTGTGATGCCAATAACACCTGACCTGACCAAGGTACTCCTAAATGTCAGGTCACTGCCAACTGACTTTACGAGTTGTTTTGCCATTATCAGGTGATAATGGCAAAACAACTCGTCAGGTCATTGCCAACCGGACTCAGCGTTATAACATTAACACCTGACCTGACCAATTCACTCACAACTAAGGTGGCGTTGCCAATTAACACTTAGCCTAATAAGTTACTACCATGAATCAGGTTATCACTACCACTTTACTCGAAATTAAGTAGTCATTATCACTTATAATCAGTCACTACCAATTAAGTATTGTCAGTATCACTTTACTTACAGTATACGTTCTTAAGTTGTCACTATTTCACTTATAACTAAGTAGTCACTATTCCTTTGCATATAATTAAGACGTTACTATCACTTTACTTAAGCCATGTCACTGCAACTTATTATTAAGGGTTAGTATCTAGGACTAACCCGCCGGGCTGCATAGCGCCAATGCGGCCATATCATCTAACGTCCAGAAATGCCTCAAACTTCACCATATTATAGTAAGTTCTTTCTGTTTAATGTACCAGGGAAGTTGGGTCAGGTCAGATTAGGTACGTTTATTTGGTTTGGTTGGTTAGGTCTGTTCGTAATAACCACAAATGTTAAGTAGCATTTATTTTTAAAATATCCGTTTTATAAAAAATTTCCACAAACAACAACAGTGTCCACTATAATATAACAATGAAAATCCGGCGTTTTTATAATTGTTTTCAATCAATTTCGCCCGCGGGTTTGTCCTATATAATTACCTTATTAAGTATTATCACTATCACGTTACTTATAATCAAGTACGTAGTCCCTTTTACTTGTCTTGTAATTCAGAAACGCCACAACCACTGTACCATTAAGTAATGTCACTGCCACTTAGTCACAACCATTTTTACGTACTGTACTAGCAATGTGTCACTACCACTTCACTTATAAGTTATCAATACAATAAATCCGGCCCACCAACACATAACCCGTCACTACCAGCTGTCACACTCAGTAGACCTGTTATTAAGGCCGGGTTGTCTCCTTTGCGTGACCTGTCTCAACCAAATGACCTCACTAAGTCGCTGGTGAATTACCCCCCTCCCCATAAAGGTCATGTCACGATCACTCATCCTGCGACTGACCTTCATGTCTCCTTGCACTTCACCGTCATTCAGCTCATATCACTATCATCTCATTTGACATGGAGGTAATGTAGATAGCGATTTACTTGACAGTTATGGCGCCTCAAGATCTGTTTGGAAGGGTCACATCAGGGGTTCGAAATTGGCAAGACGCTGCTTCTATAAACTTTTAAAGGTCTATAAAGCTGTTTATGTACGGGCATAAAAACAATAAACAAAGAGGAGCACTGCATTTAAAATATATACAAAAATCTAGGAGGTTCAAAGTTGACAGACCATTGATTTCTACGCCCACCCACACTAAGCGCCTTCACACGCGTATACACAAGAGGTTTCCATAACAGAATCTTGCCATCTATGACCCCTTAAAACAGTCCCGTTACTAAATCATCACTCAGACCATGCCAAAAGCACAGCATATCTTTGCCTTCATGTCAATAAGCCTCTTAACAATGTCAATGTATTGATATCTATCTATCCGTCCGTCCGTCAGTCCGTGACCGTCCTTGTCACGCGACTCCACCCAACCTATTCCTGGTAACTCATTTCTAGGCGTTGTTATGTCCAAGAAGACTGAATTCCATATCTTGACAGAGGTGCAGTTAACGGCTAAAACTGGTCACATAGAGATAGAAAATGGAACTACACTACATAAAGGCATAATGGGCCTACACTAGTACATAAAGGGACTATGCTATATAAAGACATATTGGGCCTACACAATACAATGAGCCAACACCAGACAATGAACCAACTTCCAGACAATGAACCAACACAAGACGTAATGGACCAACACAACCCGTAAGGGGCCAACACAAGTCGTAATGGGCCAACACAAGTCGTAATGGCCCTACACCATATAACGACGTAAAGGACTTTCACCCAATAATGACAAAATGGGCCTACACCACATACACATAATGGGTCTACACCACACAGACACAGTGAGATAGCGGGTGTAAATCATTCATAATTCGGTGGCGGGTCTTAAAGCAACGTGGCTGATCAATTCTGAGTAAGGCATGTCACTTCTATCTGACCTATCGTAAAAGTTGAACCAGAGCCACATGACCTCTCGCAAGCCAGTTCAGCACTATTCCCTTTCAACAAAGGTGCTAAAGTCGACCTACTGTGGTAATTTGCCACAGTACATCGCCGCCATATCAGATCTACCCATCGATCTAAATCACCAGGACATTATATAACACTAGGTTATCACCACGAATGTTTCCCTGTCAACAGAAAAAGGCCTTGTATCATGGACTCTGTCACCAAGCCACAAGAGCCAGCTACCCTATTTCCCCCACCAAGTTGCAGACGTACGATGTATGGTGAAGCTATCTACCTAGCTCGTCCTGGCAGGTTGGTGAACATCAATCAATACTGTAACACTGACCGACTCTCACTCGTGGTGACCATCACCAGGGATTACCAATCACAGCGTCATCATAAATAAAAAAATAACACTACTCTACAGTTCTCATAACGTTATTAAAACCAAATAATTACTGGCCACTTATCACCATCTAACAATGATCACTTATCAACGCTTCTCAGGGAACGAAAGGCACCCTATTCATCTGCTTCACGAACACCATAATTAAAATTCACACCTTGCACAGACTTGAGCAATAACTCCACTATTACGCAGAACCTTGAACAAGCATATAAGGTCCTCACTAACACTTAATATTACAGGGGTCAATATTATCACTGCAACTTTTAGCTTTTCATCATTATTTTCATTAAGAACGAATTCCAATTATTCGTTTTTTTGTTTCACTGTTCATACCAATCGTTTTCTATCTGCACACTTACTTTTTCCATTGTCCACTTACGATAAGCCTGAGGTGGGTAACCTGTACAGCCACACACGGGCATAAACTGAACACATTGCACAATCACCGGGAGCTTAAATTCTCTTAAACACGACAGACTTCATCAAATCCATCCCAATTTAATCACTCAACGCAGAAATCAACAATACTTTAATCGTATTCATCATGGGAGTACGTGGTAATGCCCAGGAAAGTTGATAATTGGCGTACATCTGGTGGAGTGGTAATAAGGCAAGGCGAGGGTGCAGTACCACCACCCCACGGCACCAGGCTGGCAGGTGCCGGCCGTCC